TTACCTAGTGAACCATCAAATGCGACGGGTGCACTGTGACCCCATGGCGGAATAGGAATACCAACCCTGACAAGCAATACGGGTGTCCTGTTGATGAAATCAACTATCCTGATAATGGGTTTCTGCCAAGTGTTCGATTACAGTCCAATCTGCTCAAGTAAATGGCCACCACTGTAATCGAGAGAAAACCGTAGAGAAAGGAAAGGCCAATGTGCTCAGCAGAAGCTACTTTGAACCGCATGACATACAGTTACATTTAGCGGTCCTGCAGCTGCTGAATGCTCACAGCAAACATGCGCACGCTCAGCTTCTCTCCAATGCACATGAATCGATGCATTTACATTTGAGACATCCTCCATCTCGCTGTTTTGCATTGTCACTCATCAGAACCATCCAGAATGATCAACCATGAAGTCAATTGAAGAGCACTCTATGGGCAGCACGGACGGCTGTGACTGGGCTGTGAACTGGTCAAGGAAAAGGGCGAAAACTAGTCAGCTGGGCCCGCATGCTGACGGGATACAATACAGTTTTCAGCGATGGAATTTGGGTGTACAGAATTGGGATTAGTATGCGATTATGGTAGATTTTCCAGTACTACGAGCTGGGGACAAAGAGGCACAGTGTGTGCAGGGCGTGGGGTGAGGGTCCCTGAATGAGAGGCTGGTCTGTTTATAAGGAGCTTTTGAGTGACTTTCGCAGAAGAAAAGGCCAAATTCTGGTCCATTTTGAGGGGACCATTGACCGTAAGGGTTGTCCTTCAATGGACCTGAACTTTTGCAAAAGGTCCTAGGACCTTGACAGGACAAGTACTGGCAGGGTATAGGGGTCCAGTGAGGCGTGATGGGACGTTGTGTGTGGCTGCTAATAGTACTTTGTGGTTTTGCACCCGTACGGGAGACCACCCTTTTGACATTTCGTGTAATGTATCGTATGTCGGACGTGACCGCGTCTTATGCGTGGGTTGCGCCTGTGCCCCGCCTATGCCCTGTCGCGCCGCAACACCCCAGCCTCCCCGACCATGCAGGGACTGTCGGAAGCCCTCCCTCGCCATGGCCGGAGTATCCCCACATTCCGCAGGCGGGTCTAACACGCTCGCGTTCGGTGCGGGCGGACCCTCCGGTTCCGCCATGCTCCATGGCGGAGCGGTGCTTTCTTTCCCTCCGGGGATATTTGTGGATCCATGCATGCAGGGACGAAGGGGCCCGGGCGAGCCTTTGGTCAGCCCCGACGAAGCGGGCAAAGTCGTGCTCGCGTACCGCAATGGGCTCGGTGGAGCGGAGGCATGGGCCATGGCCTCCGGCCCCGGAACGCCCCATTTTTGGCTCCATTCAGCTTTTGATGCCACAACGCAGTGGCGAGTGAGGAACGTGAACGGCCAAGTGTTTGCCATCCAAGCCTACTGGGTCGCGGCAATCCCCAACATCCGGTTGGGCGATCGACTTCGGCGGAATGTCTTCGCGACGAATTGGCACGGCGAAGGAGCTTGGAGCATCTCCGAGCAAGATGCTTGGATGGCCGCCGAGCGCGACAGCCCGGACAGCCCGCCCGCGCCGTTTGCGTGGGCTGGAGACGGGTGTGTGGGCAGCCTCTCCGAGGGAGACGGGGGGCTGCCGCTGGGAATGTTGGAGCGTGCCACCCGGGCGTACTGGAGGGTGGTCGCCGCGTGAAGGTGGAAGAGTTACGTAACGGCTGAGTGGGAGGTGGAGCTGCCAGGGCCGGAAGGAAGCTGGATGATGCAGGGGGTACAATTGAGGGCCCGTATGTTATACATGGGGGAAAAGGAGGTAGAATGGGTTAGGCAGCCGGGGGACAATACCTACTACGGAACTGTGGGGTGTGATGGGTGTAATTAGGATGAAAAATGTACTAGGTGTATTTTTTGTTTGAATAGGGGGATTCCCCCTAATTTGATGTTTCAGGAGCCGACAGCGTTTAGTTCTTCGCAGCGTGACTGGGAAGAGGATGTACAACAGTACATCCTGATGGGAGTATTGCCAAGGGGCGCTGACGGCTGTTGATTCATGTTGTAGTGGTCAAAGGTGACTTTTTTTGGTTGTATTGTGTGACCCTATGGAAAGGGTCAACTTGGAGAATGTCAGTGGGAAGTTCTGAGGAGTACAAGGGGTACTGGGGTCTTTTCCTTGAAGTGTCTATTTGATTATCCGAGGGTCGCTGAAGTGTAGTGCTGTTGGAGCTTTTGAGGGTATTTAGGTGGTGGTGATTGGGTTGTGAGGTCCCCTCCTCTCTCTCTCCGCCCCCACCCATCTGTTCTTGGCTCTAGCGGTCTGAACGGCTGGTGTTCAGTTGGGAACGGTCGTGTTGTGAGTGTGTGGGGGTCAAACGCAGTTGAAGGGGAGCGACTTTGTAACGAGCAAGTTCGTTTCTGGACATCCTTGCCTCTTGACCCTCCGGGTCTTTTGCCTTTTGGGTTGTGCACCGTTGCACATACCCACAGCTCAACGTGAGCTTGTTTCCTGCCTCGTTGACCGACTGACCCGCGTGCGCTCATGTTGGGCGTTGCCTTCGTTGACTCAACGACTCGTCTTCATCGTCCGCTACTCGGCGAGTGATTGGAGCGCAGCGCCGGACTGCAAGGAACGAGCATTGACAACATCGGTTGGTGACATCCTACGAATGGTTAGTACGCTCGTTATAATGAGCTACTGAGCGAGGTGTGGAGTGTTGGTTCGCAGTTTGAGCATGTTTTTTCGTGCCGCTCGTCGAGCTGATCAGCCTTTGCATGTTTCTCGTTGTATATGAACGGACAAGGTGAAGTTGAATACAAAGTTCAGCACTGGGGTTGCGCCTCGCTTCGGCAGCGCTCGACAACACCCCAAGTGTCTTGTTGGGCTTGAATTTGCATGCTATGATGATTTTCCTTGTCCTGTGAGCTTATATGAGCTAAGTTGTTAAAAGTGTAGGAGCAGAATGCTTAGAACTTCTGGGCGATTGACAGGGCTGTGATAGTGGCTGTGTCTTTAGTGACTCTCATTGAGCGCATATGGCTGATCGTTGAGCCATATTGCTGTTTCTAAGTGTAGACACCCTCCTGTCGGTGATTGTCAGCTGTTTGTAACATCATGGCACTCGAACAGTGTGTTTGACACACATTTCAATGACACACTGCGGGCTCAAGTATGGTGGGGCTGCTCTGTAGATGGGCGTGCAGATCTTCACACTCTTGCACATCATCCCACAGAAGTGCGATTGGTAGGGTATCTGCTGTTTGTACTTTCATGCAATGTGTACAAGAGGCACGTCCTGCGAAATGCATCTGATACGCACAGCAACAATGGCACTCTAGCACAAAGCTTCTCGCACCCCAGGTACGGCATTCACCACCTCATGAACCCATGACGAATGTGTATCAGGTGACAAAAACGAGCAAGTGCATGCTCTTGCCTCTTAACATCGTGGGTATAGCAATCTGCTTTCTAGATCAGCCGAGTCGTAAACCCATCCCACCACCCGAACCAAAAGACACTTAGGTCCCGCTGCATCCCATTCACCACCATGGGTCCCTCTGGATGGTGGTCAGTCGAAAAATGCTTTGAGAGCGCATCACGCAGGGCCTCCATGGGCACTCGGGCCTGTCGTGAGCGCTTGGCTCTGACGACAGGCTCGAATGCGGCAATCGAGTGTTGATACGTTTACCAGCCAATGCTGCACCACAATGAGTGTTGTTGATTCAATGGGATGATGTTGAATGGAGGGGGCAAGTTTATAGGGCAAACCCGCGCAAGATAGTGGCCCACAAGTTCTCGACCGAAGCATGCTGGTGCGGCCAGCGCATCAGTGTGCAATGGGGGCTGGAGATGGTCAACGGGGGGAGGGGATGCCTCTGTGCCCTTTGATCTGAGGAACAGAAGCACGGCACTGATGTTGTTGATCGGCCAGCAGAACATGGCAGAATGGCAACCCCGAACGCCTTGCCTTGGCTTGCGTTGGATGTGCCAGCAATGGTACGAACATTTTGCCAGCTGGGAAAAGAGCCTAGCCATCTTGTTACACGGTTATGGCCAGCTGCGGCGAAGGGTGGGATATTGATGCAGTTTCAGTCAGCTATGCCTTTATGATGCGCCTTTCTGACCCTCTCCTTGGGTTATTGTCCCCTGCACTTTACATAACTCATGGGAAGGGAAAATTTGATCTAGAAATTATGTACGCAAAACGAAATACACGGGAAAATAGCAGAATGGATGGCGAATGACAAGCTCTGGGTACGAACGGAATGTAACCTGGAACAGGTTGGGTTTTGTCCATATCCGACGTGTGCCCCGAGTACACTGAGCTGAGCAGCAATTCTAGTTAGAGGAGACCTCGTGAGGAGGCCACAAATGCTGCCAGTGCCCTGGTCCTCGCTTCCACTAAAGCACGAAACGCATGTTCATGACGTAGGCATTCCAGGTTGCAGGAATACCCACACGAACGGCGCCCATGCTCCTCTTCTCATTACGTCCTGTTCTAATACACAATTGCTGAAGCAATGTGTCATCTGGCAATGCACAGAGCCAGCTCCAAAAGAGCTCATATTCACAGTGCGGAAATGCAAAGTAGCGGATTGCCAACACGAGTGGCTCCGAATGCACACAAATGCACAAAACATGTGAATGCACGATACCAACAACACATCACGCTCCATGCCTTGGTAGTACTCCGAGCAGAGAACGAGCGGGTCGAACGACAACAAGATGCACACAGACAGCACCGACCTGCCCTCGGCAGGAGGGGCGCCGGGCTGCATTACACACACAGATCACACACATGATTCGCTTTCATCAGTTCATTTCTTACAGTTCTATTCCTTCATTTGAGTTCATTGGTTTCCATTTCTTCACACAACGCATCAACGTTCACGGCGCTCGTTCGTTGTCATTCTTCATTCTTTCGTTTCGATTCATTTTTTTCCATTTACCTTTGCGCATCAATTGTGCAACAACCCATTACACGGCGGGCCTGCGTCACAGCCAGAACGCAACGTCTCCACGGTTGTTGCATCAATCCCTTTTCTTCCTGGCACCGGTCGACTGGAGGAAAGCACGCCTGAAGGAGCGCTCGACGCCGAAGACGGCAAGGCAAGACAGCACGTACGTAAGCAACGCCTGCAGCGGGCCGGGGTCGCACAGCCCCCCGGCGATGCCCCTACCTACTAATATCAACAGCAGCGCTTCAAGAGATCCCAGAGCGAGATGCACCCAGAGCTTGACCTTCGGCAGTTGCACAGTGCTTGCTTAATGCCATGTCCACTACACGTTTCAACGCGCAATACAAGCAGTCTGCGTGTGGATCCATGCCCGACATTGCCCTGCAGGTGTACTTGCTGCGTAACTACTGGGCCTTACACTTTCACTATTCGCTTCGAACAGGTGTAGTCAATGCAGAATTTTGGAATTTTCTGCAGTCATGGCAATTTCATCAAGCACAGAGGCAATGTATATGACGTCTAGTTTCCCAGGATTGTTTGGGAAAGTGATATCTCGTTAGCTCTGATGACAAGACCACAGTTGCTGTCCCTGACTCTTTGATCATTAGGTAAGCCATCTGCTACAGTCCACAAATGACTGCCCACAAGAAACGTGCATGATCATTCAACTGAAACATGAAATTGGGCCTGCACGTCGCCCAAACATGCACAGGACGGTTTGTTCTTGAGGTGAGGAGGTTGAGTGCCTCAATGGATTGAACACTTTGGTGTCTGTTCGAAGGGGCACGAGTCCTGAAATCGCAATTCCCAATGCAAGGACACTGAATCAATGCACAGGCGCACGCCTCAAAATGAACAGTACTCTTCAGGAGGGCATTCGGGACAGAAGCTACTACAGTCCCATTGAAACGAAAGATGATTTTGCACAATGAAATCAAAGCAGACAGAATACAGAACATAACCGCCTTTTCCGTCCTGTGTGCTCACTGTATCAGCTACTCCTTCTGGGTCTCTGCCCAACCATGGGGGTCCTGAGACAGAATGAATTTTGCTGTTTCCAGGGCAGTGACATCACATGCCTTTGGTTCTGTTCACCAATACGCCTATTGGATTCTGAACGTTGACTTGCTGTGGGCGTTTCAATCGGTTCTCCTTACCTGAAGCCACACTGGAAACACCAAGGCATCCCAAACGAGTTGCCCAGCATCCAGCGTGCTCCTGCAAAACGTTCTGTTTGCTTCGTCCACGCGTGCCCAGTTCATCATCCTCCACATCAGCATCGACCCCAGCCTGACCAACCGAATGGCCAACGCCAAATCTTCCCTTTGCTCGTTATACAGGTCTCTCCACAGCACGGGAATAAGCAGCAGCAAAGCCCCGAGCAGGTTCCATGCCAAAAACTGTGGCAGCTGGCGGCCAGCATGGCAAAGATATGCGGCCACTATGGCACAGGACGTGATCCTCACCAGCACCACCAGAAAGTCCACCAAGGCCCTCTCTCTGTTTACAAACTGTCTGTATCGCTTCTCAAGCGACTTGTCTTTGAATCCAAGCCACATCCATTCCCTGATATCGGTCTGTCCACCTGGGGACCAGGATAAGGAAACGGCCTTGCTCCCTCGCCTTGAGCGTGTCCCGGCTGACCCTGATGTGGGATCGCTGATCGTCTGGGAGTTTCCACTCGAGCTTGCAGACCCATCTGTTGAGCCCTCTCCTGTTGATTGGCTGTACGAGGTCAATGCTTGGCAACGAGGGACCTCAACTGCTCCCTCCCTTTCATCACCAGTAGTCGGCACATTCTTGTCAGAAAACCTGGAGAGGCTGTCTTCGAGGGGCTCTTGGGCTGTCTGTGCACTGACTGAGCTTTCTTGGTCTGCCTTTGAAGTGACATCTGCTCCACTGCCATCAGTGGCGATCGATGCAAATGTTCTCTCATTGCTCATCACGTACACATACTTCAAAAATGTGGTCGTCATTTGGTCTTCTGAAAGGGATGTACCGGCGATGGAAACAGTTCCAGTGTTCTGAATGAAATTCTTCAACAGGAAGGTCATTGTCTCCCACATTTGGTTCATTGCCAGGTACTGCATGCAAAGACAACACCAGTTGCGAGCGCCGCATGACATATCTGTAGAAAGGACAGAGAGTGTGTGCGAGCCATTCGTGCAGAGTGAAATTGTGATGCGAATGTTGCTCAGCAGATGACATTGGGAGCGTGCTATTTTCTATGACAGCAAGAAATTGAAATTCTGAAGAAGATAGACATTCACGTGATGGGGTCAGGCTCACCAACTACAAAGCAACCAACGAATCATGCTGGTCTTGTTTGTAGTTGCATTGTTTTGAACTGAAACAAGATGAGAGTAGATCAATAAGGGAACCTCAAGAGGCTTAGGGCTCTCGTAACTGTTCATCTTCTATGACACAGATTTATCAGTCATCAGTCGTTCATCAACATCAGTTTCTGGCTCTGCATAATATAGATGTGGCAATACCACCTCATCGTCCAAGAAGGTGACAGCATATACACTATATAAGAATCTTTGACTTTTCACAACCTGGACTTGCTATGTCAGTGATAATTCGTTACCTCGACCATTTTTTTCAGCATCTTGAGATACTGCATCCTGCGCTCATTGCGATCCCCAAGCCAATTGTCCCAGTACGGCAGTGCAGCCAGCAAGCACTCAATGTCCACCACCAGGCCCCTGAAGTAGGATCGCCATGCATGCACTCGTTCCTCCCCACTCCTGAAGCCACCCATCTTTGCCACGCTCCCCACAATCTTTCCAAACAGTGCATTGACTTCCTGAGCCACGTCTGGTGGCAGGGCAAGCAGGGGGGCCGAGCTGCTTGTGGAGGGGGTCGTGCTGCCTCTCTCTCCCACAATGATGAACACCACGGCACCAGGCACCTGCCGGCCCAAGTTTGCCCACCTGTGATCCACAGCAAGCCCCACCGTCCGCACTTATGGCACAATGGTTCATCCTACATTGAGCCAAATTTGCGGTGAGCCCTGCGTTGGCACCTGCTACTGGCTGCAATTTGCACCTCAGTTGAAAGAACGTTAGTTGGCAAGATACTTTGCATGGGTTTCCCATTTACTGGAAACAAGTAAACAGTTGGCATATTGAGGCAATGCTGTTAGTTACCCATGCACATCAATGCAGGTGAACTCCTCTTCAACACTATGATGCAAGCTTGCTGGTTCAAAATTTTCTGAGAAGCCCTGTGAGTCAGCGACAGAAACAGGAGGTTCCCAGCACTATGTTACAAGCTTGCTGATTCAAAATTTCTAAGAAGCCCTGTGAGTCAGCGACAGAAACAGGAGGTTCCATTGCACAAGGTGTTATCCAAACTGCCGATGAATGATGCTACTCAATGGATCCCACAGGGCCATTCACATAGTGAATTCACAGCCACAACTTGCTGGAGAGCTCGCTGGACACCAATCAACTCAGTGCTCTACTGGCAGGGTAGCACTGCAACTGGAATGCAGTGCTGCGCACCTCTGTGACCACCATCACCTAATAGGTGCAAGGGCATGGCTTTGATACATCTATAGGCTCATGTGCTCAGAGTGATTTCAGAGTTCCTTGCGGGATTTGGACAAACATTGATTGGATTCTGGCAAGATACAGCCTCTTGTCCATTCTGTTCTGTTGGCAGCCTTGCCACACGCTGCACTCTGACATGCCGATTCTCACCTTGTCATTCTGGCCCCAGTTTCTTTGACAACTACCACCACTTGTAGGGATTGGCCCTGCCCTTCTCCCTGTGGATATGGCATCTCTTCTTCCAGATCCATCTCCTTGGAATCTTCTGAGCAACCCTCAAACACGAGCTCTGCTGCAAGTGTACCATTGTGAACAACCAGCAGCCTCCAGGCAGAATGCCAGCACCCCAAGGACACCTCTATTGTGGCTGTGCCCTGGGGTCCAAGGGGAAGGCATGGCGGGAGGACAGAGAAGATCTCAGGCACGATGTCCTCTGCATGTGACCTTGTCACAGCTTTCAGAGTCCCATCCTCGAGTTTCAGCACATTCAAGTCCACCTGCACGTCCATCGGGCCTTCCAGGAACATGCTTGGCAGGGACTGGCAGATCTGGTCTGTGTACTTCCAGGCATGACTAATTTCCCATTGTTCCTTTGAGGTCCACATCTCTTTCTCTCCTGGATGGGGACCAGGCGTCCTGGCCCCAGGTGGTCCACCGTTTTCAGCGGACTCATCTGAGCCCATGTTTGATACATCTCCACTGCTGCCCTCTGCTGGCTGAGAGCTAGCTGGTCTGATTTTAGCTGGTCCACAGTTGTCAACGGACTCATCTGAGCCCAGGTTCGATATATCCCCACTGCTGTCCTCTGCTGAACCGCCCCGGTGCCAACCCACTCGCCTTCCAATAAGGCGCAACAGTATCTGGAGGCAGCCTTCGATGCACAAAACCTGCGTGTGAACTAGGGCACGGTGTGCACCTTGGCTGTCAACCGGCCTGCACGCATGCATACTGTTCGCAGTCTCGGACAACATGACTGCGAGGACAGATCTCTGCAGTTGGTTAAGGTGGATGCGATGCATCTGCACAGCATGAAAGTCAGTGCAGATGGTCAAGCAAGCCTCAAATGCCAGCGCGGAGCAGCGATTCCATTCATGTGGATACAGGTATTATATACGTAAAAGAATTTACGCCGGAAAAAATTTCGCGCATTTCGTGGTTGAGCCACAGCGCGAAAATATTTCCGCCTGTAAACGTTGGCCCCGCGAACTTTTCGACCCCCCTCCAAAACGTTTCGGGAGCTGGGTGCACCGTTTGGCCTGTTGGCTTGTGGGCAGCGACGTGCCAAGATTGGCGTTCTTTGCCGAGCGGCGAATGCCATGAAGAAGCCCTGAGCTGGCCAGCAGTGACCATCGGCTGGCCGAATCTCGACGGAGCCCAACGGCTTTGGTGCTTGTTATGCGCATTCGGAGGCCACGGGCGGTGTGGCACGCAAGGGCGAACGACGCAGCAAAACACCGCCGTCTGACAGCTACAGGAGCAGAGCCAGAGACGCGCGCGGTTGGACTGGGCGCCCATCATCTCCCCAGGACTATCGCCCAAATCTGTGCCGGCATCGAGTCCGTCGAAAGCGCAGTGACCGCGCCCAGGGAGCGGCTCACAGGGTGGTTCCGGAGGGTCTCCAAATTCTCCCCGATCGCCATCGTCGTCTCAGCAGGGGGGGGGGGGAGGATGGGGGAGCCGGGCTCCCCGTCCGCCATTGCTCCCTGCTCGCCATTGCTCCCCGCTTGCCATTGCTCCCCGCTCGCCATTGCTCCCCGCTCGATTGTTCACACTTCCCCGTGCGGAAGCGTCTACCACACTGGGTTCGGGCATCATGCCATCGGCCCTTTTCCCGCGACCGCGCGCTTCTCCGTGAGCGGGTCGATTTTCGCGGCGTCGTTGTGCTGACTGCGCGCGGCGGGTGCGCAGGTGCTGCAGGCACTGGTGGTCGCCCAGGACGCCAAGGGATCCTCGGTTTCTGCTCCCCAGCGGCCACGACACCGGCAACAGACAAGGCAGCCACCGGTTTGCAGCCGTTCTGTCAAGTTCGCGCGCTGAAAATGTTCCCGCACCAAACAATCTTCCGCGCGGACCTTTTCATCCGCGAAACACGCGAAAAATTTTCCGCACGAATATTTTTAAGTATGCAATAGAAACAGGTGGACAATATGATCGCCAAACATGGAGTGAGGTCCCAGGGAGTGAACAGAAAGGGCAACTTGAAAGCCTGCCACGGAGACATAACATTGCCCTGTGCTTGTGCTTCATTGGGTCTGAATACTAACAGCAACAACAATTACTGTGATGTGTTGAACAACTGGCAGACATTGTATCATACCCCAGCTTCAAAACATTGCGAAACAAGTTCTAGAAACAGCCTTTAGCTGTATTACCAAGTTGAGAACCAACTCATGTCCGTAGTCTGTAACCCTCTGACGACAAAATGAACAATCCATTCCGTTCGGTGGCAGCTGTGGCCGCTATTAGAGGCGTGTTTTCGATTCTAGAGTTGGGCCTGGACGTGCCCTTCGTGCGCTGGATGGTACGCTACATTGATCGATGCCGTGACTTCATGTCGATGCATCCATGTAAGGAACAAACAAACAAACAAACAAACAATCCATTCGTAGCAGAAAACACAAGCAGCTACGAATGTGCGGATGGCAGCCCTCAAGCAATATTGACAAGCAATAAGTTCTACAAGCACAGCTGGGAATGATGCAGAGATATAAATATTATTGCCACCAGCAGTAATACCTCATGACATACAACTTCCCACTACATGTGCAGTAAGTTGACTATCAGTTCCGCAGGATCTGAACTGCCAACCTGGTGAGTCACTCAGGACAAAACGACAGCATGCTGCCAGTCGGATGAGTTACGTCTGTACTATGGCAGATACGATGGCTGAAAATTGCCACAATGTACAACACAGAGTCAGAATCTCGACATTCATGGCACAGAAAGCATGCTCCACACCTTGATGCTGATGACTTGCATGAATGTTTGGGGGTTTGTTGGATCCATCACAGCTGCTCCCAAATGCCTTGTGGAGAACAGCCAGGTCAGGTCCAGGGCACTTGGAAGCTTGGGCCCAGCCGCCTGCAGGTACCTTACTACCATACTCCACCCTAATCTGAGTGACACAACATTAGCATAACACTGACCTCTCAACTGTGACACACTCATTTCCCCACATCCCAATTCTGCCTCTGCGTTACTAACAATACCAACAACCCCAACCACTGACGCAGACGCCTTTGCAACTTTGTTCTTTCGCTTCTTGATTCCTGGCACATTCATTATCACCACTGGCAGGCGCAAAGGCAATCTTGACCACGCCGGGCTCTTCAGCAGCCAACATCTCAAACAGCCGCCAAGTTCACCTCCACTGACATTGCCCCTGCCACGCGCTGCAATCCCAACACTACTCCCTTCCACAGGCGCCAATCTGTCTTGCTGCATTGACCACCCCAGTGACAACGCTGACCGGCACCACTCTTGAGGAGCCGCTCCCTGCGGCATGAGGATGGCGATAACCACCGTCAGGAAGGCGCTCCAGGCCTCCGCAACACCGACACTTGTCAGATCGACAGCTGCCAGGGCAGGTCCAAGTGCTCTCCTCAATGGAAGTGCGAACTGCACAAAGAAAACGTCGTCAGCCCTCCCGCCCACGTACTTTGCCGTTGCCTAGCTGGTTGGCATCAGATGCCAGCAGATTCTGCTGCCGCAGGGCCTGTAGTCAACCCAGTTTCATACGACTGAGTGGGCTAGAGCGCTGAAGGCGCTGGAACACCTTCTGGGTGCTGGTTTTGAAAGGCGGACTGTGCACTGCGCTGGGCAGGCCTCTAGAGACCCTTTCCCGCATGCACTGTTGACGCCAACGGTTGTGGCTGCTAGTTTTCCTCCAATCAGTTCCCTCGCGTGGCACCCTGATCGGGCGCAGCGTACTTGGAGACGACATTGCGTTGAAATGAACTCGGTTCATGGTTTGATCAAATGCCATTGTGACATAATATTACTGCCTGCACCAAATCGGTGACTGCTTGCACCAAATCACGTGCACACTATTTCCTAACCTCAGTTTTAGGGTGAGTTTTAGGGTAAAGGTTTAGGGCAGGTTTAGTTTCAGGTTTTAGGTTTTAGGGTTTAGGGTTTAGCTTAGGTCAGTTTTGGAGGGAGTTGGTGCAGGTAGTCACCGATTTTAGTGCAGAAAGTCACCGATTTGGTGCAGCCAGTAATTTTATGCCTGCCGTGATACATCCCATGATCTCATGGATCCACGAAAAGGGTGAACGGCCGCGACTTGTCACAGTTTCCCATTTGGATGCTTCGGTCCGGCCTGTGCAAATGGCATTGTACTGTGGTGCTTCGGGACATGCTGTTCCCATCCCAAACGCGGCCCGCCAGCGACGAGCTACGTTGTAGGCCTTTGCAACTTGCATCGGAACACAGGCCGCGACACCGACGGCAGCGGCTGCGCACGCCAGGTATTGTAACGGTGCCGTAAATTGCCGCCACACACACGGGCAGCTGAACTACGCGCAGCCGCTGGAGCGCAACCCGTGACATTACTGGACCTCCACCTCGGAGACGGAGGGTTTCGTCCCGCAGCAAACGCATAGTGTTCGAGGGGGGCCACATAACACAGGAGTGGGTGCGCGTCTCGTGGCGCTGCCCGCACGCCAACGGCTCAACCGTTCTGTGGGCGCCCGCACTCACTTCCCTGCGCCGTTCCCGCTATCTGCGTCGCAGACCGTGCAGAGCGGAAAAAAACCTGATCTCCAACCCGCACATCCAGAGGGTGGCACAGCGCCGTGATAACACTTGCCCAGTAGCGAGAGCGCCGCTCCCAAGGGGCACCGTAGCAATTACGCACTTCTCTGCATGTCCGCGCTCCCACCGACCGGCGCGCCCGCAAAACCGTCACCACCGGCACGCGCTGGTGTCTCCATCCGGTCCCACGGCTCAGACCACTGGCGTCGATAACAGTGAGTGGAAGACCGCCACGGGAACACAAAGAAGTCAAGCACATCGCCCGGCAGAGTCCCTCTCACCTGGAGGGCGCTCTGATGCGCGACCAACACGGGTGCGAGGACCGGCGAGCGCGTTGTCGCCCTTCGGGGGGTGCCGCAGCCCTTCCCAGCCGTGTCGGCGCGCCGCAGAGGGAAGAGCTTACACATCCGCAGCGCCCGCACCCACTGGGCCAGCCACTGGCACCGGGGCCCCCGCCGCAGCCGCCACAGCAGCGCACAGTCTAGCAGCAGCAGCAGCAGCAGCAGGATCTCGCCCATCCCTCCGCCGCATACGGCGCAGGCCGACCAGCAGCTGGCGCAGCCCGGCCCGCCCAGAACGACGCAGCCCAACAGCGCCGCAGTGATGCAGGCCACAAGGAACCACGCCGGCGCCGCGCCGCGGATCCAGCTCCGGCCGGCGCTCGGCCCTCCCTCGCTTCCTTCCCTCGGACGGGCGCCCATTCGCCACCCGGTGTTCGTCGATAGGTGACACTCGGAGATCGGCGGCGATCCGGCTTGGGCGGGCGCGCCACGCGAGCTCGCCCCCCGGCCCCGCCCGCCGGTGCCCATCACAAGGCCGGCCGATCAACTACGCCTTGGCTGAACGGTCACGGGTCCGCCGCTCAGACCGGAGTCGGGCTCATTTCGAGAAGGGGCTGCAGCGGGGGGCCGCCTGGAGCGCTGGCTGGGGTCAAACCGCGGCCCGGCCTAAATCCCCCGGGAGTTCAGATGGTGTAGCATGCGTGTGTCCCTGTGGCCGGGCCCGGAGGAAGGGCAGCAGAGGCGTTCCGTGGGCGTGGCACGGACGGGGGGGGGGCGGTGGAAGGACGTGGAGCTTTGTGGGCCCCCGCAGCAGGGCCTCGGGTCGCGACCCCGCATCCTGGGGGCGTTCCCCCGGCCGGGATATGGCACGACAAAATTCGCCCCCCAAGGCGCAGGGCCACGTGGAGGCGGGCCGGCCGCAGGAAAGTGTCGTGCGCCCGTGGCGTCAGCGTGGAGTGGCGCCGCGATGGTTACTTTCGGTGTGTGAGCAAAAAGTGCGCGATCGCGGGACGCCCCGGGACGCTTCCTGAATGTTGTCGTGCGCCCGTGCGGGGACCCGGCCGGCGGAATATGGGGTTTGACACCGTAGATTGGGTAGGGTGGGGTTGGATGCTTGTTAATAAAGGGGAAGGCACATGTGCCTTTTGTTATCGCGGGTACGACAATGGCCGATTAACATCGGTCATTTGGCCAAGGCACATCCGCCGGACCCGGCATTCGGGGGCGCGGCGGCGCACGGCGGAGTTAGTCATTGTCGGCGTGTGACGCATGTCATTCGGCATTTCAGGGGGACACGTCAGGCCCACAGTCTGTGACCAGAGGCTGTGCGTTCGTTGGCTGATGCGTCATATAGCTGTTGATTGAGCAGCGAGTTCTCCCAATTGGGGAGACGTTGGTGGGCGGCAGAGATGAGGTGATTTGGAGTGTACTGAAGAACTGGAGCCTAGTGGCTAGGTTTGCTTCGCGGAGCCAAGGGCGACTTTGGCTTTCATAAGCCTTTGTACGGCTGGAACATTGATACTCACATGTGCAGTACACTTGGCCAGTGCGCATGTTGGTCGGGGACAGGATCCCGCCAGCCAGATATCCATACGCCCTCCTCGCCCAGCCCTCCTGCTCACCATCCAAACCCTGTTAGTGCCTAGAGCACCCAGCCACCTTCACCAAACAAAGGAAAAGGTTGGTGCTTGCCAACCGTATCACGATACTGACCGCCCACACGGAGACGGAGTCGGTTTAGGCTTGTCCAGTTGGGCTTCATGCTTTGTTACCGGGCCCATATGTACAGGGCCTGCGTACACATGTACAGAGACCCCACACATGCGCACCCTGTGAGAGCGCGTACTGCTCCCTATTTGGAACGGGCTTGCTGTTTGGGCTCCACCGGCCAGGCGAGCAGCACGCGCTCAAAGGCCGTTCCCCCCGGGGCAGGCCTTCGAGGCGACGACGTGTGACTACTCCTCTCGCCCGCGCTTCGGGCGGACCTCCGGGCCAACCGACGCGGCCCCCCGGCGCGGCCATCGAGCGCGACGCCAGGCATGTGATCAACTCCCCGGACGACTGCCAGGGCGCGATCAACCGTGTTGCCTCAACCTCGGCGACCCCCCGGCATCCTCCAGGTGCCTGGGGTGGGACATTCCTGGAGCCGCACACGGACAATCCCCTTGGCCGCGTCTCCCTTAATGCCATCCGGCGCAAGAGCCTGCGGGTGCCGACGTGCTGCGCGTTCTGTGCGTTGGCTTGGGATCCGTCGGAGGAGACCGGCACCCTGTTGGTGGGGTAAGATTTGTTGCAAAGAGAGAAGAAAAACGTCATGCAAAGGGCACTCCTCGTGAGCAAGTATTTGCGGGTCTCTTTTCCATGCTGTGAACAGATGATATGGAGCCTGCATGATGGCGGCTGTGACACAAGTGTGGGGGAAGCCGAGGCAGGAGATCGAACTGGACGCGGCGTGAGTGTCCGGGAGGATGGTGAGATGCCTTGCGGGGCAGGCGTGTACTGTTAGGCGTTCGGGTTTCGGGGGTCAAAGCGCAAGCCTGACTGTTCGGACATCTGGGCTGCCAAGGGAGGGAGCAGGCGAAGGGGGGGAGGGCGTGGACGGGCAAGGTGATGGGGGCGGTGTTCACCGAAGCGGGGAGCCAGAACCCGATCGGGATCGCCGTCCAGCGCCGCAGGACGACCAAGCAGATGTCCAAGCCCACGGGCATCGACTTTGTGGAGCTGGGCAAGCAGTTCAGGGACATCTTCAGGAGGGCTTGAAGGACAAACCGTCGGTGATCGAGAGGCTGGGGATGCTGCTGCAGGGCCCCCTGGCACTCGCAGGACGCTGATCGCGAGAGAGATGCTCAAGATGCCGAACGGCGGGGAGGTCAAGGTGGCGAACGGGCCTGAGGTGTTGAACAAGTGCGTTGGCTTGCCAGTGTGGAGAGATCAGGAAGTTGTTTGGTGACGCGGAGGCCGAGTAAAAGGAGAAGGGAGGCCTCTGAGATGCGCATCATCGTATTCGATGAGATCGACGCCATCTGTAAACACAGGGGCAGCGTGAGGGACGGCTCTGCCGTCCTTGACACGACGCCCAATCAACTGCTCACCAGGGTGGATGGTGTGGACTCCCTGAACAACACACTCCTGTTCGGGATGGCCAATCCAAAGGTCTTCCTGGGCGAGGCGCTGCTGAGGCCCTGGCGGTTGGATGTGCACATTGGAGCTGGGCTACGGTACCAGTCGGGCAGCGTGAGATCCTGCGCATCCACACCGCCAAGCTGTCCATCAACGCGTTCCTGGACTGGAGCGTAGACCTGGCGTGGCTGGCGGAGTTAACAAAGAACTTCGCCGCTGTAGAGATTGAGGGACTGGTGCGCATTGCAATATCTTTTGCCCTGAATAGGCACCTGGACACGACCAAGCTCACAAAACGATCGAGGACAAGAACATAAGGTGACGATGGGAAATTTGAAGTGCCCTGGAGGTGAAATCTGCTTTTGGCGCCTAGAGGGAGACCCTGGAGTCCCAATGTACTGGAGGCATGATCTCAAGCGGGGCGTTCTTCAATCACCTCCTGTGCACATGCCACTAGCTGATCCATCAAGTCAGGAGCTTCGAGAACGCTCCCCTCCTGGCATGCCTTCTGGAGGAGCCTGCGGGGTCGGGCAAGTCCGTCCTGGCGGCCAAATTGGTCATCTTATCCGATTACTCTTGCCAACATCACATGTGCAGAAAACATGGGAGGTTTACTCAGCACACTCCAAATGCTTGGAGACCGCGAAGATCCTTGCCGACGGCCACAAATCCTCCCAGTCCCTTGTTATCTTGTTATCTCGTAGTGGAGCGCCTGCTGGAGTACATGCCCATCAACCCCACATTTTTCTGACCTTGTCCTGCAAAAATGTGCAGGGGCTGTTGAACAAGCCGCCTCCGGAGGGCAGGGGGCTACTCGCCAGTGCCATCTCCAACTCCAGGGAAGTTTGGGAAACGATGGGTCTGCCTAACATCTTCAATATCGTCCTGATTGTTCCACCCAGCAGGCTCACCGAGGAGAAAAAGCCCCATCGAACGTGCCATTGATGTGGAGCTTCTGGGTGCTGGCGTTGTGCTGAGCAAGCAGCGGCTGTTGTTGGCAGAGATGGCGCGACAAAATGTGGACACTAGCGCAGCGAGGAAAAGCCTCACGGGTCAAAGTGTGCTGGGGGACTTGGGAACCCTTCCCCTGAGTATGCAGCTGCCGAATTCTTTGGGAGAGGGAGACCAGCGGACGCGACCCAACTTGTTTCAATATTGCTGGAAGCTTGCCTTCGGTTTTTGCTGAAGTCTGTATGGGAGGCTGCAGGCATCGATTGCTGCTTGTTGCCCTTCAGAGACGCCCCAAAGATAAGAGCTGCGACCGTCGCTAAGGGATTGCAGGAGATGCTCACTGCCAACGTCAGAAGGTTTGCAGGGCGGCAAGCATGCTGGGTGCTTGCTTCGCGCGTTGCAAAAATCCGTACAAAATGTCCTCACGGAATGTTGGTGGAAACAGAAAGCAAGAGTGAGCATGGGCTCCTTGAAAACAGTGCTGAGAAACCAAGCTCAGATCCCCGGCCTCCTCCCTACGCCAGCGTCAATTTGACGTCGAGGATACCGAAATCGACATGGTGACTCACCTACCAAGATGCCACTCAAACTAGATTGCGATGTTGGTCTGCGTACTTTAAGCGTCGAGCGCCACCCACATCACTGTGAATAATAAGGGCCATTCCCACAAAGCAGAAGCATTGCTTTGCCTGGTGACGCGTGCAACAACTTTCATTCAAAGAAAAATGCATTACCTTGGGGGAGTTCTGCTTGGGATCCAATGCAACTGTCTTAGGTACAGCGAGGCGTCCGACAGACGAGACATCTACAAAAACTTTTCATTCCATGTCTGACGAATTGTCGTATGGGAATACAACAACCGCCTTGGGCTATGAGTTTGGAACGGCGCGTGGGTTTCGTTTACGCGGCAATGCAAACGTTGTGCTGCACAACCTCTGCATGCTTTGCACCATTCGGACCTTTGAAACGAAGCACAAAACACACGCACAACACAATCCGCGGTCGCCACTTGTCCTGATGGCTCGATGTGTAAAAGGGCCCATCGACAGCCGCTACGTGTTGAGGGCGACAACAGGTGACCAATGCGTCAGTGTTCCGGGAGCATCAGCGCCCTGGAGTTTTACCGACTGTGGTGGCCATGCTGCGCACGTGACCCGATTCATAGTGTACGTTCAAAACTTCAACTTGAACATCATGGGCTGCCTGACAAGTAACTGGCGCTCTGATTCTCAACAATCCAGGCCGGGGTAACAAGGATCGAAGAGGAGAGAAATGGACGTGTATATGCCAGCGTATGCATCCATACGATTACGTATATGCGCACAAGTACAGGCGCATTGGCTGGATCTCGTGCAAGGATGCTAGCATTGCCTGCGGCCTCCAATGCAGCAAAACTGCACTTCCAACCCGAGAACCGTCCTTGAACTAGACAGGTCCTCCCTGACCTGCTGTCATGTGCCACCGTGACTGCCTTTATGTTTGCTGTTCAGCTCACTTGCTGGTGCCCGTTTCACCTTCTGCCAGTGACTTCCTCTGGAGCGCAATCGCACTTGCCAAACGAATTCTCAGCATTTTCAAGGCAGTTCCGTGGCCGCATCCAACTGGTTTTCTCTGTGACCCCACGTAGTCACATGTCCACAGGCTGAGTTTCCCTGTGGCGTTGCGACAGTACTGCGATCACTTTTTGTGGTGCGTCGAGCTGCACTGAACTCTTGTTTGCGCATCTCACCCATAAGTCACTCTGAGGGATAGACGGGAGGGGGGCGTCCACAGCGGGGAATCATTGGGCGACGAGCTGCTTCATTGCCAGGAAGAGGGTTTTCTTTTGGGGAAGGGGTGCAGGATGCCGCGCCCAGCAACAACCGAAGTGAATTTCGATCGAGCTAATTTTGGGGCGAGCAGGAGATGGCCGTGCTGCTGCCACGCATCGGTAGTAGCATCTCCCATGGGAGGTCAGGACGCCATGCCTTGGATACCATATGCCGGGGCAGGCCGTTCTGAGCCAACTGGGCCTGGCGGCGTCCTCCAGCGAACAGCCCAACCAGCGCCGCAGCACCACGGCTGGGCACTTTGTGGCCACCAGCAATCTGGACATCGAATCCCGGCCGCACACAGACCCAGTGGCCCAGGCGATTTGCTTTTCGAAGATTTTGGCGGCAAAGATACGTCGAATGGCGTGGGGACTGCACCCCAACGAGCACCCGCCAAAACCCGACGGGGGGTGTCTGCCAGATACTCGACAAGGCGGGGGGCGCTGAGCGCGCCAATTCCCTTGAAGTTTGGCGCTGAAAGTGCTGAGCGTCACATCGACCTTGGCGCCACGAGTGCCGAATGTCCTACACAACCCAAAGGCAGGGGGAACCAGCCTGCGCCAGAAGCCACCCATCCCAACGCCTTTATTAGATGTGCTCTCTCGATCTCAAATTCACCTCTTGAAAGCTTTGCTGCCCAAGGCTTTCGGCTGTGCGATTTCGATGCCGCCGACGGGGCCGCCCGATTCGGCCCCCCTGTAGGTGCGCAACGCCCCCACCCCCGTATCCCTCCCCGTATCCGGAGCCCCAGCTCTCCTTTCCCGGTCCACCGCACCGCGCGCCGGTCGCGCAAAGCCCCACGCCAGAAACTTGCCTGTCGGGGCTTCCTGCTGCGCCCCAGTCCCCTTTTCGGCCCCGCTCGCCACCTGCTGCTCTGATGATGGTCTCCAGCTTGTCTCGCTTGCTGCCGCCAGTATCCGCCGACAGGGTATTGTCCAGCCTGCTTCCCCTCTCCCCCCCGAATAAGAACCAACAATCCGGCGACATCCGCGGCGGCGGCTGGCCTCTGAAAGCGCCCCCACCTCGCCACAGCCAAGGTACGGCACCCACCAGGTTCGCTCAGACGGGGCATTCCGGCATTCCCCTTCGCATCTCTCCTGGTTAGCAACCGGACGGGATTGGTGGCCAATCGGATGTCTCCTTCGGGGATGGCCCGGAGGGATGTTTCCCATGGCCCGGTGCTTCCTCCCCGCGGGCGCGACGAGGCCCGGCTGCTGCGCGTGAACGCCGAGTGGATCGTCTTCCTGTACCACTCGCCCAGCTGCCGCTCAGGGGCGGCCTGCAAGTACGGCGAGGGCTGCTTAGTGGGCCGTCAGCTGTGGGCGCACATCCTGCACTGCGCGGAGCCGGCCTGCGACACTCGCAACTGCCTCAAGGTCCGGCGGCTGCTGTGGCACTTCTGGCACTGCGCGGAGGCGCGATGCGCGCTGTGCGCGCCGGTGAGGGCCCAGCTGGCGGTGGCCGGCATGCCTGGCGCCGGACGCGACGGCAGCCGCGGGAGCGACTCGAGATGATGCGCCCGGGGCGCCTCGAGCATCCCGCCCGGCTCGGGCCTGGAGATGAGCGCGGCGGCGATCTCGACGTGGAAATTTTGGTTTCGCGGATGTCGCCGGACGGGTGGTTTTGGGCCCGGGGCGTCGGGGCGGGACGGGAGGCGCCCACGTGGATCGCCCCTCGCGGGCGGGAGCGCGGCGCGACAATCGATCGAGTCGCTGCGCGGGTGCGGGCGAGGACCGAGTCGGGGAGGGGCCCAGCGGGAAACGGTCTCAGGGTTCGAGTCCGAAACTGAAGCGCGGATTGGGGACTGGATGTCTGGATGTCTGGATGTCTAGATGTCTGGATGTCTTGCTGTCTGGATGTCTGGAGGACTGGATGTGTGGAAGCCTCGGCTGGGATACGAGTGGAATTTTGCTGGAGTGAGTATGGGCGGTCGCTGGCGCTGGCGCTGGCGGGCTCGTTCGGAGTCGTAGGCGAGAAGGGAAGGAGCCTGCGCTGGGGATGATGACACCGCGGGGATGGCTGCGTGGGATCTCGCTGCAAACGTCAGGGAGTTGGCGGCCGTTGCCTTTTTTGTTTCGCTTGCCGACAGAACGAATGACGCATTTCGGCAGGGCAGTTCCCTTCACAGGACGCCTGGGCTGCTGCATGGATGTTTACTAAACACATGAAACACAAAGAAGAAAGATGAGCCTTAGTTGTGAACAAATGGATTGTGCGGGAAGAGTTTGGGGTTTGGCAGGGCCCGTCAAATATGGGCTTCTGAAGTACGCACAGTTTTGGGGCCTTTGGACCACATGTGTCCAAGGCAGGTTGCTCTGCATGTAGAGCTGGTGCTGTCCTCTGCCAAAATTGTATTGAGCATTGTGGTATGAGAGGCACAAGGGTCTAAGTCGTCATGTGTGCGAGTTGCTTTGGGAGTTGGAGACAGCACTGTGCATGCCTTCGTACCAGAAGAATGGTTGCTTGTGCAGCCTCGCTGAACAGAGTGGATACCATTGCAAGGCACTGCAGAATGAATTCCTCTTCGTTTCTTGGAAAGTACACATGTGGGCTTTCCCATGTTGGGACTGATTTTATGGGAGCAGCCATCTGGGCTGCAGCTGGGTCGCTGCAGTCCTGTTCGATTGTGGACAACGAATGGAAATTGTTTGCCATCATGGGATTGGCAGTTGCAGCTGTGTGCTTTCTGTCATAGGATAGGCACCTGCTGGCAGCAAAACTGGTGGTGTTGCAGATTTTGGCGGTTCAGAGGCGGACACATGGGCACGGTGGTACAACAGCATGCCACACAGATTGTGTGTGGCAACAATTTGGAATAAGGCTGCTGTCGTGTTGTCCTCATTCTGTCCCATGCTTCAGATGGTGGGACATGTTTGGTTGGATCCCATGCCGATGCTCAGTAGAGTTATCAGTTGCCAGCCATCGAGCTGTGAGCTGTCAAGGTGCTGTGTGTGTGTGGCATATGCAGCTCCAGGTAGCACCAAAGGCGAACTTCTTGTCATTCAGAGGAGGGCGGATGCATGGGTTGTTCGATTGAAGGATACGGGCTTAGGGTTTAAAGTTGGAAGCTGGACCTTGCATCAGAGATTGTCCAAGGCATAGCACAGAGTCTCCTAACTTGTCAAAAGAGCTTTCATGAATGCAGAGGTTGGCCAGTTTGACTGCACGTTTGTGGATTCGAAACTGTTCGGCCAGATTTGCCTGTAAATATGAGATTGTGGCAGCTGAGATGTCACTATGGCGTCTGGGCAGATCCAGTTTGTGCACACTCTGGTGGACATTTCAAACTGCCCGCATGGACCATAGCTCACTGAGCCAGAGGAATGAAGAGCTGGCTGTTGAGTGTATGGGACTGAGCTTCTGGCATGGTCTGGTGCTGCCTGTGCATGCCTGCTTCACATACTTCAAACATTCCTTCATCAGTAAAAATACTTCCTCCGTCCCAGATTAATTGTCGTTTATGATTTTGATGCACTATTTCTCCATCATGCCCACACCTGTTTTCAATGAAATTTCGTTTACGGTTGTGTTTTTAAGTTATGAGTACACCATAAAAATTTCAAGTCAATCCATTAAGTATTGAGGATTTGGCAGTACTTTGTATCAAGGGTATTTTTACATAGTAAATCTCAATATTTGGGGTCGAAAATGGCCAAAATTTACCTTCACCTTGCACTCAAAAGGGTCATGTCTCACTTTCCCTTCTTGAAAATTGGTAGTCAAGAGTTTTGAGATGCAATCTTTTCGATTTTGACCTTGTTTTGGAATTCTGAGACTGTCCTTATAACAAATTTAGCCTTTCAAATAGACGACAATTAATCTGGGACGGAGGAAGTATGTAGTAACTGCGGTCCACAATAGCATGGTCAGCACCATATGCACTTTCAAGGTGATCCATTCACTGGCACAAACCCGGCCGTCTTGCATGCCACCATGAGCCTTCACTCATTGATTTTGAGGCTAGCTCCGATGCCATTCAGGCTTGTACTGGATTCTGAGCGTCACACTTTCAAAACTTGTTGGGTGTAGCCAGAATGGCCGTTGGACAGCGGCTGCAGGAAAAGCCCTCAGAGGGTGTCCTCCTCCATCGACTGCCGACTGTTGCCCTCAAAGGATGTCCTCGTCCATCGACTGCCGTCTGTTGGCTTTTGCCTGGCGCTGTTTGCTGATGACCCCGGCTGCAGGTCTCAGGCTCGCCACGGTTATCTTATGACTGGTACCTGGAATGCAAAACGACTCTTAAAATGAACACAGGCTGTGCACTGCATATCCCATGCGCCTCCTTTTCTGTTTCCGTTCCAAAATGTTGCATCACATTTGGATTGGCACAGAATGTGAGGGAGCGAAAATTCCCAGCGGGTCCGATAACAAGGCAATAAAACCCACTCAACGGACTTAGGGTGCTAGTCAATCCTGATGCATTTGGGCACACTATCCAATTGCAGTAGCTGGGGACTCCGGGGCACCCAGTGCATACATGGGATGTTTTCTTTAACAAAATATGACCAACTTCTGGTCTTGGACGGCCAGCCACGTTCGGCCGTTGCCAATCTGTGGACCGCGGCTGAATGGCACAATTTCCCGGAATTTTGTGTTGGCAGAGCTTGCGTGTGTCCACAATAGGTTCTAACATACTTCGAAGTATACTATGAAGTAGTGTCAACACACTACCACATAAATGTTTTACATTATATAACAATTGTATCAATGCCCGAATACACTGATAATGGAAAGCATATGCTACTGCAGTACACAGCACATACTGGTGCTGAGAATGATGATTGTGAGGCATTGATTCTGAGCCGTTCGCCACTTTCTTGTGCCTGTCATCACCTGCAAGGGACAAGGGCCCTGTTGTATTCTTAAAACCAGCATTTTTTTGGTGTCCCAAATGACGATTTTGTGTCTGCAGTAGATTTCAATGAAAGGGTTAAAACGCCAGGAACCTTCTATGGACAATTCATCCAACCAAAGTACTGGAACATGCCCTGGCTCCGACAATGTCCGACAAGAAAACCGTCAACTGTCCCTGCACATAAATCTAGGAATTCCCATCTTCGGACTGGAGTCTCCCACAGGTGTACTTGGTACAAATTCCATGGCAGGTGCCAACTGCCACCATGCTGCAAAGCTGAACAACCACGGTGGTGATGGTAGGGCGCCACTTCGCAGCATCGTATGCTGCGATCGGCAACTTGCCACAGTGCTGCACTGTGCACACTCCGCCGCACTGCTCCAAGCTTCTAAGGCTGTGAGTATCACAACGTCTGAGGCGTCCTACTGCAGAACCTTTTGGGCACGGCACATTCGCCAGGACTTCAACACTGCCGCCACTATTGTGGCGACATTCAACATGGCTACGCTGCTGCTGCACGGGACTGTGTCGATGATCATCAAACCCCATGGAAACAACAGTTCATCCCCAGAGCTCACACAACTTCGAGAAATCATGGCCAATAGTGCTGTGACAGAGCTGCTTCACAGTCCAACATGTTTGTGTTTTTGTTGTACGATTTGACAATTTCGTAGTGATTATACGTTATTTGTACATTGTTCATATATTTGATGGTGTTTATGTTTAAAACGGTTTCTTGGATAGTTCTTTGCACAGCGCAGCAACTCTTGTACTCATAGCAGCTCACCTGCAACTGGGCACGTTACTGTTGAACGATTTCTCGACGCTTCCTTGATGTACGCCTCGATGACTTCTCGCTCATAAATGAAGCCACGTTCGTCCTGCACAGGATCGTGAAGGTCGAGAACCTGGGCCACGTGCAAAACCGATACTGCCTGGTGAGCTGGATCTTGGGACGACCTAAACACAATACTGGCCAAAGACAGCCACTGAACGACATTCGCTAAACAACAGCTTCCGAACAAAATTCATTCTACTGCAGTTTCATTGAATTCACACAGCTTGTGCCTGCCAGCATGTGCAGTATCAAGTTGCCAAAAAATCGTGTGTTGATGGCATAAATCGTGTTTGCATGGGACCAAAACATATCATTACACAAAAAATAACGAGTACAACATGCAACAATTACCAATGAAAAATTGCCTACGCTTCCGGTGTTATGATTCACCAATAATACCTGACTGACCACCTGAACGAACAGGGTGAACCAACATCGGGAACGGACCATGCACGTCATCGCGTTTGAGGCGCAACGGCACTGCGCCATCATCACATCGACAACAGAAATCAAGAGACTGGAATTTGCCTTGCTCGCGGCATCAGAAACAACAGAAGGAATCCAAAACTTACGTTTTTGCCGGATATGGGACACACAGTGTTAGCCAGGCCGTCCATGCCATGTTGCGTCTCGTCCAACACAATGTCTTCATCTTCCAATAACTCTCCACCCGTCAGACGCCGTTCCATGTCGCGAACAAGATTTTTGTACTCGTCCGTTTCCTGTGGAGCAACCCTGCACCAGCAAGCTCCCACTCAATGAACAGATCACTTGCAATTAGTTCCACACAGCATTCTTGCAGTGGGCTGTCTGCACTGCACCAATCTCCTTTCAGCATGCACTTTGAGTGCAGCCGGCAGCACTAAAACACATCAAGGACAATTCTCCATTCAGCTCACATTTCGCAGCGCTTCAGATGCTTCGTTCCAAAATGAACAGATTCTTTCTCGACTTCGCTCTTGGCACGTGACGTGACACAATTCCCCTCTCTTCTGCTGTCTTGTACTTCCAAGACTGTGTTCACTGCTGATCATCATCTGAATTCAAGAGACACCAACCAGAGTGCCATTTTTCTATTTTTCTGAAAGGACGCAAATCTTTTTGACCCCATGGTTCCAATAAATGACTCTGATGTTTAGGTGTTTTCAAAATGCAGCCTTTCCAGCTGTCATGAGGCTTTCTGCCTCTACAATGTCAGCATAGTCTCTTTCTGCAATCCAATTAGTGAACACTGTGGTCACCCATTTATAGCATTTCAGACCAAACCAATTACTGCCATGGCAAACTGTGGATTAGCTCTATTAGAAGACATGAAATACTGGAAAGTATATGTTGCAGGAATAGCTCACAACACGAGCTCAATGGTGCGAGGAAGGATATCTAACTCACAACATTCTTGACATGCCTGTCCGATTGAATCTGTGCAACTTCTGCCGCAATCAGGGCAGCGAAATTTGTGGGATCGTCTCCCATCGTGTATTCATTCCTCAAAGCAGCCAATGCCTGTCGATATGCTAACCCTTGTGCCTTCATTTCCAGGAGTTTCCCGAAATCACCACAAGCTGCAGTGGCCTTCCAACACAAGGCAGGACAGATCCTCAGCCAAATGGCCCAGTTGGAGAGTCAATGAACTGAGACCAAGTCGAATGAGCCTAACAGCATTTCCACTGATCAGATGTGCCTGGACTATGCACTTTTGCACAGTGCAGTGAATAGCAAAAACTGATCGTGTCTCACGACATGGCCTTAGCACTTAGCCTACAGCACTTAGCAGAGAGCTCGGCATTCTACTCAGCAGGAAATTGTTTGAGGTGTGTGCATGAGAAATGTGCCTTGTTCGTACTGCTGTTTCAGATGAACAACGACTGACCGCACACAATGGGTGAAAGAGCAGCGTGCTGGCAACGTTTTCACATATCAATCAATATTTGTGACAGAGTTGAAGGTGTCAGAGGACAATCCCCCTGCTGATCGAAATTCTGGCACCCTCTTTCAGTTTGCAACGGCGATTTCAAAGTCTCCAAAATATATCATGAAAATCAAGCTGATATGAACAATCTGTGAGATGCTTCAACAGGTGAACTTACAGCAACTGAGCAGAAAAAAGGGGCAGTGTGGAGCAGTGTTGGACTCAAGATGTGGCAATGTCTTCATGCATGCCATCAATAAAGATTACTGCTTTCATGATGCAAGGGCAGTTCTCTGCAAATTCTCCAGGTGGAAGGCCTATCCTGGAACGAGATTCTGGGGCTGCACAAATCTGAAGAGTGGGCTGTGCACATGCACAAGTTGAGCCATTGGTGCAACACCTGGCTTGGCTATATGTTGTCACGCGTGGAATTTTAAGAACACCAGTGCAGTTCGGAGATTGAGGCACCTCATTAGGTGGGACGTGTTTCTGAGGACAGATCAACAGCTGCTGTGTGCTGAAGCACTTGAGCAAGCCGGCAAACTGAAGGTCTTTGTCCAACAAGGATAATGCAGCCATTGGATGCAAGGGAGCTGAAGCCCAACGGCACGGTTCACGTTGGATACAGGTGCGCTCTTTCAGGTGGACTGCATGCTCGCGTGTTCCGACGACCCAAGCCTTGTCCAACAACGGACCTGGCATTCGCGGCTGGACTGCTGACTTCCGCAGCCAAGATTCGTGCAGCTACACGTTCTGGGCTTCAGTGACAACCATGGCAGGGGCTGTATGCACTGATATGATATTAAGACTCAGCAACCTACCTGAACAGGTACCCAACTGCCCAAGCGTAGCATATCGACGTGTGGCACTCACACATCGAGCGAGCACCCACACGCTCCCACGCACCTGCTCGCGATCCCCCATATCCGCAGATTGTTGAACGATCCATTTCACACTATCCAGCCAGTCGTCGACATTCTGCCCACCATCACAGCACAATCACGCAAACAGGGCACCCCAACCATTTCGCCTCCATCGTGGCGCACCGCTCGGTCACTGCAAGTCAGTCAGTCACAACTTCCTCTGGCTGGCAATTCGTTCCTCACAGCTCTCTGAAGCGCCCCAAACCATTATGGCGTCCATTGCCAAGTTAGGCCACAACAAACATCCCCGACGATATGACCAAAGTTCTCGTAGACCACTGCTCACACGGAGGACGCCCCATCGTGACCTTGAGAGCGTCTTGCTGGCTTCTTCGACACCACAAGAACAACAAGGACCGGTTTGGACGATATTTCGGCCCCACAGAACCGCGACCGTACTTGCATGACGCCGTCTCCCGTCTGGAGCATTTTGTCGATGACGGCGTCCACCGTTCCCACTGAAGCCATCGTCCCTCAGGCCAGGAGAGGCACTCGGCGGCTGGCGTCGGCAACAACTGGGCTGCTTGCGTCCTGGCCGACTGTTGGCGCGAATCAAAAAAAAAGGCGGTTGCCAGCAACTGCATCAGTCCCGACTTCACTGCCTTGCATGCAGAGTGCGCATGAAATTACAGTCGGGGTCCCTATATAGCGCCCCCCTAATAGCGCCCCCTGCCCCCAATAGCGCCCCCTTTTTGGGCTTGTCACCATTTCTGTAGTACTTTATACAGCTTCACTGCACAGTGGGGCCTCAAGCCACTATTGCGGACAACCCAACACACCCAAGAGAGGTGTTCGGTGGATGGATAGCATGGTGGCTGTCCGTTTCTGCGAACTTGGCATATTATGGATGGGTGGACGGCACATCTAATGCGTCCGCTGTGGGGCCCGGGCCCAAGGCCTTCCCAGGAGGTCAGGGGAGCTGTGCGTTCTATGGCGGATTTCCATTTATGCACGACGAAGCGGGCACTGCCCACTAGGGCTCCTTGCGGCCAGTGGAATGGAGGGATAGGGAGGGGTGCCCAATGCTCCGGTGTCCACATTTTAATGTGCAAATTGCCACAGAGTCCAGGGCCGGTAGAGGCCATCTCGCAAACGAGCATTCTGTGCAAGCCTTGCCCTTGCCTCTCAAGATTGGTAGGCAGCAGCACCTGATGTCCAAGTCAAGGCCGATTGATGGCATTCGCGGGTGCCAATCAAGGCAACTGCGGGTGGTACCATTCGGCGCCAAGGGGGAGTAGCAATGGCGAGAGTGTGAGGCCACGTTTGGCCTCCCACTCCCGCCTTTTTCTTGTGCCTAGTTCTTAAATGCCGCGCCACCATTATTGACCGTTGGCATTCAGCCATGTTGCCTACTGCTCTAAGCCATGCAACTTGCGCACGGGGGAGTCCCTGGCTGTGGGCGACCTGCCGCATGGGTGGGGAACGGTGAAGCAAGTTCATCGTGTGATGCGCTACTTTCAATGATGCAAGCGCTCGGATGTATAGACGTCCCACCAGTACGTACATGTGTGGTCGTCCATGAACAAACAAACGGTGCTACACAACTGTGCCCATCATACAATATATCGTGAGATTTCAACTTTGCAATGCACCACAAGATTCATTACATGCTATGATCAGAGTGCTCTAGGTGCCCAACAAAAATCCACGCTGCCACACCTCCACGCTTCCACACTGTCATGCTGCCACGCTGCTGCGCCCGTGCACTGCCACTTGACGGCGTCGCCAGGTGCCGCCACAGCGCCAACAGGTTATTACATGGGGCCGTATTGATTAAAACTACAATTAAATGCATTAAAACAAAGTTGACCCTATAGCGCCCCGGTCCCCAATAGGGCCCCCCTTGTGGCCATGTCACGGGGGGGGCGCTATATAGGGACCCCGACTGTAGTTGCTCTGCCTTTTCCGTGAAGATCCCCTCTTGTTTCAACACTCTAAACCCTAAACCACTAACCCACTGACCCACGTTGGCCTTGTCAGTGGAAGAAGGGATTTTCTATGGAAGACAGGGGGACTAATATACTCCCTTCCTCCATGGTAGTGAGTGCGAGGTTGGATTGAAGGCACACAAATTTGTCCGTGCTGCAGCGACATTCAATGGGGAATGATAATAATAGATGACCTTTTATTCATAGTGTTGTCCGCCCGCCTACCCACCAAAGCTATCCTTTGCCATGTACTCCAGCCTACGGGTTCCTCCTTGGAGGTTGCCACCCTTCGATTCTGCATTAATTAGCCTCTTGCGCAGAATGTGCGCAACGCTTCGTAATGACTATTGCTTCTCCAAGGTAACCAATTGAGCCTGGTGGCCAGCAAGCGGCTGGCAGCGAATGTTCCACGCTTTATAAAACGTAGCATACTAAGTGGTATAGCCCCCAAAAGCTACTATGGAAATAAATGGTCTTGAGAAAACTCTTCAAATCCATTCCCAATAATTGTGAAGAATTATTGTCTAACCATTTGATTGTGTAGTGGTTTTGTCGGACTATCTTACTTTTCCAATAGTACTCTGGGATCCTTTGAAATTATTGGTTTGTCACAAACCTGCATAATCCGTGGGAATGATTATCCGTTTTGATTATCCGTTGGAAGATTTTGCAGGACCTTGCTCTAAAACAAGAGATCCCTTGCAATGAAAGGAAAATTGATCTGATCGGGGGTGCCTTTAAGGCACCAATTTGCGCCCAATTTGGGCCCACCATGTGACAACGCAATCCATTGCCCCGGATACACCCACCGTCCAAGGTGGAGAGGCCGGCCAACTTCCAACGGCTGTGCTGCAGGGCAAGGCGACCCCAGCACTTCCGGAAACCAGTGGCTGCTGACGGGGCTACAGGACCTAGAGACAATACACTCATTTGCAAGAAACAAATATACTCAAATATTTATGGGACACATGTCCCAAATTTGGAATATACAATTTGATTAGAATAGTGCATAAGTGCCACACCGGGGTATGATGCCCAATGAGATTTTAAATTGAATGTTGAATCACACAACGAACTAGCTTTCGTGCAAAATGTCGGTAAGGTCCGAAAGGGTGCACTTGTGTGCAACATCGCGATTATGTGTGTTTTTGGGCAAAATGGTTGTGCTCAAGATTGTCCATCAGAAAACAAGGAAACTTGTGCGCAATATCGCCATTTCTGAGTGCACTAAAAAATAAGAGTATGAACGCCTTTAAAACACCAGTTCTCATGCTTTATATCACAAGATTAAGAAAATTTTACAAAAAAAACATGTACAACACGGGTTCCGCTCCCCCCCACCCCACCGACCCCGTGCATTGACACACTAGGCCCAGCAATATTCGCCTGTGTTTGCGCGCGCGGCGCGCGCAAAGGTACACTTTTTTGTGCGCGATATTGTGGTTTTCTTGTCCGTTGGATGACCCAAAAATGGCCTGTTTGTGTGCAGGTTTATTGTTGTGGCATTTTTTTGCATTCCGCCTGTGCGCAAAATGCACATTTTGTTGTTTTCCGTGCCCCTCTTACCGACATTTTGCACGAAAGCTTGTTAACGGAAGGAATTTAATTTTATTGTATGATACAAAGTAGGGGTTCACAACGTACCCCTATATGTTGTGCACCACAACATGCACGCGACAATTATAACAACTGTAATTCATTTGGGCAATGTGCTAGGGAGCCCTTGGATGCCGCTCACATACCTGCGTTCAGCAGTTAGCCACCACATTGGCGCCAATCACTGCACTTACACTCCAGGTGGCCCACAGAGCTTTGTTTGGTTGTTGGGCTAGAGCCAAATTGCCTTATAGAATCTAGTCCTGATGGGCACTGGCACTAGCTTGGTAGATATAGTTCAAGGAATTGAGGCTATTGAGGCCTATCATGCAAAGCACCTGTCGGCGCGGTTCCCCCTTGGCCGCGTCCAGGTACCCTGGCCCGCGCTCTAGGGCCTCTCCAGTGGAAGCGTGGTCGTCCTCGGCCGGACGGCGTGTCCCGGGCTCTCTCTGGCCCGTGGGTGACGGCCGCTCTGTGCGGTCCCGTCCGAGGCGCGCGGCTGCTGCGCTCGAGGAGGCAGGGAGGCAGGCGTTCCAGAACAATCGAACTACAATCGGCGTGGCCGCGCACGCTCTTACAAGCCGCGGCACACAATTCCATTAATGTTCATTAAACTCATTAACTCCATTATCTCCGGCGGGGCTCCGGGCCGAGTACTCAGCGGCGACGGCTCGCCGCCGTCGGCTTTTGCCCCACAACCTCGCACGCCCCACCAGCGCTTGCCAAACAAAGTGCACGAAATTACCACAGCACCAAGGATGGACGACTGAGGTGAATATCATATTTTTTGCTAGATTTTTTGATACATTTTGGTTAAACCTGAATCATCTACCTCTGATCATGCAGGGCAAATAACAAAGTGTTTGGGGAACCAATTAATATAAAGAAATAGCATTACAAGTAGATCTTTTTTGCGCTCAGTTAATGCCCCTTGAGGCCCAGGACCGAAGACACATAGCCCAAACTCCACCCTAGATGATTGAAAACACTAGTAACAATGCCCTCCCATCACCAAGATGATATTATAGAGTCCCAAGACTCTAGGGTAGCCACAAGACCTGTCAGCATAGAAACCGTAGGAACAAAGCAGAGTTGAAGCTCCATCTAGTATAGCTGGCAACATATAGAAACTTATGCAACATTGTGGAAACATCAACAGAATGCCATTTGCCACGATGCACTAAAACTACGCCCATTGCCTCCTTCCCACGCAAAAAGACTCAGGAACCCATGCGCATATGTGAAAACTAAGCTCAGAAACTCTAAAACTCAGAGACCCAGAGGGACTCGTAGAGAAGCTCTACATTGAGATATTAGAGCAATGCACCGGAATCACACAACACGACGGAAGCCCAACTAATACAATAAAATTAGATTCAATAATATTTATGTATTTAATTGTAAACTTGGACTTTAGTGGTCAAAAAACGAATATGTGGTTATTGGACGGAACAATTCATTTGTTATATATAGTTGCATCTTGCATTTAATAAATGACCACTCGGGAGTTGATTGTCTCCAGCATCATTCCGCTTCGCATGCCCAGTGATACGAAAAGTCTGTGGGTGTGGGGTTCCTGCCCTCTTTGAGCCGCGGACCCACCTCGCCGGGCACCTAGGTCCTTACAGGGCACCTAGGCGGGACCACCCCTCCTACTCCCATATCCATATAAGTATAATAGTTACCGTGGGACAAGGAATACTATACGTTCTTGGGCAGGGCGTCCCCCACACCAAGGACCATTAGTAGGGCGTCCCCCACATCAGGTCGGTGCGCGTAACATTCGTCCCCCTCAGGGAGAGGGGCGTCCTCGTCCCAATATGTGGATATGGGAGCAGAAACTTTATGTGTATGTGGATAGAACTGGTTGTGCGATTTGCCACATGCCCAATTGGTATACACTATACAGTTAGTGGTGAAGAGAAAGAGTGGTTGTTTTTACAT